GAGCAGAATTTGATGACACCTAATGCCACTTGGGAACTGTTTGGTTTTTATCCAAGGTTCCTGTAGCACATGTGCTGAGGGTGACAAGTGCTACTTCCTTTTTTAGGCTTCTTCCATGCGACCTGTATCTCATTGCTTTTCTCTCCATCAGCTGTGAATCCACTGGTGATGAACTTTGGGAGTAGATTGTCTTTGAAAGGACAAGTCCTACTATATAAAACAATGAACATGCCCTGTAGGTGAATTTCTGACAAGCTTCATTGAATCCATATCAAGACCAGCAAACCCAAGGTTAAGACTCCATCAAAGCACACAGTAAACAGTCCGATGGTAATAACACCATGTGTACATTGCATTTGGCTTCGTGGATCCCGCATGCCTCATCCCTCATAAGTCTCGTCGCAGTTTAGTGCCGCACTCCGATTTCATTCGCCTCAACGGGCGAAATTACCACTGGGTCATCATGACAATTTTCCCACTTAAGCCCAGTCACCTCCTGAAAGCATCCACCGTCATGCCTAAGCACTGCATGTAGTCCCATGATTTAGTGTAGGAGAGTTGCCATTAAGACGGCGAATACATATTCACGTTACCACATAGGAGGTCAACATTTGTTCCACCAGCCCCCGCCAGAAGCCACAAATGCTGAGAGAGTGCACAGCCTTATTCTAATGTCTGGACTGGGTGTTGAATAAAGTCTTACAATTTCGCCTCTTTTGTTTGGGTGTAAGTGAGGCACAATTCACGAGTCTCCACAATCAAGTCATTTAATGGCTGGTAAAATAGAAGTCACCTACGAACCTGCTTCTTCCTGCCTCAGTGGTCACGCCTCGCCCAATTGCAAAACAAAAGAAAGCAGAAAAGTTGTTGAAAGCTTCTTGTTATCTTTCATGGACGCTGCTAAATGAGAAAATCCCACTAAACCAATTTGGGGTGAGATAATGCTAGAATTGCCAAAACTTCACTTGGTTTCGGTGACGAAAGTCTGGAACCTGACGGTTCAAGTGTGGGCGTTACATCAGAACATCATGTAGTTTTCGACTCCCAACATTGCATTTCCTCCTCCGGTTCCGAACTGCCGCCTGATCGCCCAGTCAAACGCCCCCGAAATGGGAGGCGATCAAATTATGCACTGGTCTCATGCCATATGGAGTTCGATATAACGTCCAATAATTGACATGCACTTGAGGCCCTCAGCTTTCAAACAGAACGTCGATGCGAATTTCGGTACTCGTCAAATGCTTGATCTTACACGTTAGTTAGAGACTGCTTTCACGGTGCCTTCGCTTTTTACCTTACAATGGCGAAATAATGAGGCATTCACTACTAGTGGCTCGAGCCGCCTTTAACTACTGCCCCTCCTTTCATCGTCGTCCAGAACTCATTAATCTACTTCCTCTTCATCATTAAATAATTACCTGAATAATTCAGGTGGTACTTATGCGAAAGGCGAGCATTTCTTTCCCCTTCTCCGGATTAGGTTCCATGTCAAGTGTTGCATTCTAGATTTTCAAGTGGAAATATTGGAGAGAGTGCGCATTTATTTAGCATCCGTGTGATAACACAGGTCATTTTGATGGCGACTCCTTGAGACGAAATAAAATTGAGGCAGGAGTAATTAAATCACCTTCATTTCTCTCGTTCGCAGTCTACTATCCCTCCTTGAGCCTGTCAACCAGCGAGGTTACTGTAGCCAGTGGAAGAAGTGCGTTTGAGATCACGTGCACATCGGTCACCTGTGCAGGATCATGCCAGCCCCCGGGTGAGGTAGAGACATGTCAGAATTTAATGCTCCTCCGCACACAAATCCACGGCGGTCCCACGACCCTCGTGGCTCAGCGAGGCCAACTGGAACCTCTTTGGGCAGATGTCCTCGGCGATCTCAAGGTCCTCGTGGACGAGGAATCAAAAATGGTGGTGAGGATACCGAGAAGTAGGTTCTTTCACATCCCCTGACAAATTGTATGTATCACTTGTGACTCCTTGCACGACTTTTAAATCCAAATGTCTTCTTTTCCACCATTTATCACAAAAGCATAATTTGACAGCTTTAAATTAACTTATTGAAGCAAATTTCACTATTCAGTGATTGCAAGACAATACGACTAAAGAGTACTTCAAAACAAATGCTTCCTTCATGAAGACCAAATTATGGTCGTTGTGCTTCACTTTGAATACGCCATTTGTGGAAACCTCGGAAACATGTTTTCCAATTGCCAAGGTTGCTACTCACTAATGCACGAACTTCCACTTTCGTGAACGTGTTCTCGACAAAACTTCATTCTACCACCTTATTTTACTCAAAAATACAAAAAACATTGTAAAGGAGTATTACAATTTACCGTGTTCGATGTGGTCAGGTTACTCAGGTTGTCGCACGAATGCCACTACCAGCAGTTCGTATTCGCTGGTGAAACAGTAGCCTGAGTTTAATAACAATCCTGAGGAAGTATGACCTCTGATGGTGTTACCAACGATGCTCCCTAAAACGACAGACTAGGGAAAGCTGACGAGGAATATTTCTCTGCTACTCAAGTTGCCACAAATGTGATGAGCCTTTTGTTGTGCAGCACACACGTATGCGGGCCAGTACCAATGCGGCTGCGAAGCCACCGACGCCACCGGAACTATTATTCTCTCGGTTCCAACTACGTTCAGGAGTACCGACTTTCTCACGGGTAGGTCCGAATTGCGTCTGCATTAGGTATAACTCGTAAAAGGTTAACGTAAATGAGCCTTCAGTTGAGGCGTTTATCAGTCAACTAGTTTAAACAAATGCAGGTCAGCTTTTGGGATCAAACTCTTTTAAATAAAGGTCAAATCGGAAGTTTGGAACGGACCCTAAAACCTGTGACTTGGTTGCTTGGTTTTTAAATAAAAAATCCCGGTTGAAGTAAACAGGATGTGCAGTACCTTTGCGGGGCTTATAATACATCGGGGTATGGCATGTTCACCTCCTGCGTCGCATATATGCGACGCGTGCTCTTTATCAGACGTGGAAGAAGGAGTTGTGGGGAAACTAATTGGGTCGTAATAAAAACGGAATATGCATATAATGTTTTTGAAGGTTATAATCTTAGGCAAGACATGTTTGTGAATTGTGGTGCCCGATTCTCCACAGAGGTCTAGCAACGAATGGTCTTGTGTTCTGCTCTCTCTTGTCAATATACCCTCAACGAAATTACTTCGCCCATTCCAGTTCTTCAAAATGTGGTAAATCTGAGTTTGCTGGGACTCGTTATTGGTATTTTTCGATTGTAATGTGGAGAACTTGTTGATTTGGAGAACTGGAAGAGAACACGAAAAGTGGTACAATAGTTTAGAATGTGGCCGCTGACCCACTTTGCAGCAGCAGTTACGGTCCCGCTTCGCAACTTGCCTGAGGACAACATAATACTGGGGCAGAATATGCATATTTGAAGTGCAGAAGTGGTTTGGGCTACTGGCATGACCCGGAGGCCAGCCCACCCAGCGAAGCCACAATGTCGGAGACCTAAATTGGCCCCTTCACCAGAAAACAAGGAAATTTCATGGTGGATGCAGTAAATCTTCCCAGTCGTGATGCAAGTCAGGGGAGAATTTGTGAAGCAATGATGACTCACCAAGGGGATTCCTAATCAAAATACCCCTCAGAAGGGCCTATTCCTGCATTGTTCGTGCAGTGAGCTTCTCGTTGGTAGCAAATTTGGGAAGGCAGAGCATAAGGAATGCTTGAGAGTGATTGCATCCCTTGGAATGCCCTTAGTTGTGTCTGTTTGGCTAAACGATAAATAGCTTTTTTGATTTCAATTAAATTCGAAAGGCTTGCATAAGTTACACCGGTCCAAAGGTTATTTTAGTATCCGTAAGGAAACTCTAACAAATTCATTTGGAAAAGTTTACCCAAATTGGACGAATCCGGTGCTTAATCGGTGGATATGCTCTGAAGGCCGGGGATCCTCGACCAGTGATAAGGTTATAAGCTGCAAACTGCTTTTGCGAAAAGTCAAAATTACTTATTGCAACGAGCTTGCAGTTGGAAGCTAGTTCTTTATTCTGCTCTCTCTTCTTTTGCCTGGTTGAATTGCCAATGCATCTACTCGCCTTCTGATTGTCCCACCTGCCATATTCGCATGGCCAGATTCATTTTGCGACAACAGATGCCTCTCTTTACCAGCAGCATTAATCCAGTTGACAGGTTGACAGATTCCTTGAGTCGTTTGTGAGGAAGGCATTCCACGAGTCCTTACAGATGCCTTCACCACCAACGTGTACCACAGACACCTACAAGCCCCAAGTTTGCAAAGAATTTGACAAAACAATGGCCCATTGCTGCAATAGATGACAGGAAGAACGCATTCATGGGTGCATTTGTATTTCCATTCAGAGGCCATTTTCCAACGCAACTACACGGTTGTGTACAGAGGGAAGCAGCAGTACCTGAGAGATGGTGGTGGTGGAGTGATTGAGCTGGCCACCGAGGGTAAGGGCGCTTTCTTCCACATGATGGCAAGTGGAATCACCTTGGCGCCTAATCTAAGAACCAGGGTTGAGTGGAGTGAGGAGGGCAAACGCAAGACCCACGAGACTGTGGTAAGCATTCTTGAAGTTGTCCAAAGTAATGCAGCACATTCCTTGGCATAATTGGGTTGCGTGAGCATGCCAACATGGTGCAGTGGAGAAATGGTATGGTGCGTGAAGAACATGCGTTAAATTATTTTAATTTTGTGCAGGAAACAAGGCATTCAATGCAAAGTGGAAAAGTGTTTCAGATGGCATTTGCAGAGGGGGCGTTAAGCAGAGAAGAGTTGTTTTTGTATTACACTTTAGGCAGCCATCCGAAGCTTCCATTGAGTTAAAAATACCAGCACAATTGAAAGGCGTGGGTTTCCTTCTTCTGCTGATTAACTCGCCTGTCAAATGTGTGGTTAATTTTTTGGGATCCTATGCAGCAAACAAGGGTCTTTCAGGACTAGTTTTGTAGGGTATCTCCTTGGATTTTGCAGTTAAACTTTTTAAAACATCACTCCTCCTATTCTAGCATTATGCTCTCTCATTTTTGGTAATCATTTTGCTTCCACACCTAGATTTGGCGTGTAAGTCTCACATTCCAAAATGTTGTCTCTACTAGCTACGCATGCGATGTTGGCAGGAAATTTTGTAACGACTTATTTGCTGCGTGTCTGCTATCGCACTCACCGAGCCGTCTCTTTCCACAGTACTCGAGGGAGGAAAGGGTGAAACTGTATCCGGACGTTGAAGCCCTGACCAACTGGACAGAATTGGCAAATCGTGTGCAGGCACGTGCCGTCTATCCGGATGCAAGGGAAAATGAGACGGTGATTTATCGATGGAGTCTGTCCAATCAAATGCCCGGTTCTGATGTTACCGATGTGTTTCATCTAGTCGGTAAGTTGTTCACAAGAGCCGAAATGGAAATAACTTTAACCATCGCGAAGTGCATTTGCTTCCTCCGCAACCTCCTGATACTGAATTTATGCACCCATCACAGAGTTCAAGCAATACCTGACCTGAGAATACTAAGCTCTAACAATTTGACAGTTCGGCCAAACCATCCTGAAAGAGCTCACTTTACGGCACTAGCAGTGCCGGAATGCTGCACGATGTCACCTTGCTCAACGTATGCTCACCTTTCCACAACACAAATGCTCATCTTTGGAATCGGTGGGTGTGTTGAGGTCAACAATCCCACAGATTGATACCTCTCACGTTCACTTTTGCTTCAGGTTACGCGTTGATCAGGCATCCAGAGTCTAGCTTTTAATGTTGTGTCCAGCTGTTTAATAGACTGTGGAGCATGCATAACTGGCGTAAACTGGAACCTTTGGTAAAACCAACCACGTAGGAGATGGTCACGAAGACACTGCTTTTATTACTGACTTTGAAGCCTTTGCACCATCCAAATGCCCTACCGTTGTGTGGCTGCTCAGTATGCCATCGCCGCATTGTGCGGTTTGAGGTCTTCTGAAGATTTGAGTGGATGCAGCTATCCGCTTTTCAGGTTTTATGGCTTCTTTCAAACCCTATTTCGTTAAGCGCATCGCTCTGTTGCAAGCATTCACTTTCTACCATCATTCTTCGGTGCTTCATTTGATAATGCAGAGACCGGACTGATCCACGACATGTGCGTTAGATAAATTTGCTTAGTTAGACACGCTTATCAATCGCTACTGCACTTGGTGCCCACATGGTGGGGTGGTATCCCATTACATGGACTTCTGTAACTACAAGTCCCAGTGTGATTTGAACAGTTTGGTTATTCGTTTCTGCACCTCTATCACATTTCCTTGGAGCCCCTTAAATTGGCATGCATGGAAAGTGGCATAAAATACCTTTTAATAAGGGAAATGCACGAGCCTGATTTTGCACTACCGTCGTTGCCTAACCAAAAAAAGATATGCATTGGACTTCAGTTTGGCTATTCTGATTGACAGAGTGATTTGAAGAGAAAGTGCTTTCCTGTTTAAGTAGAAACCGCATGCAAAATGCAAATTAGATTGTGGTTTTTTAGCCCTTAATTTAAAATTCGCGAAATTTGCTTCCTGTATTAATGACCTCGTAAGGCGTAAACAACCGGTATTGTGAAGGGCTTCCGGTGATTGAAATGGACAATTCAGGAGTCTATCGCACTTATCACTCAAGGCTTCCCATTCATCACACTCATCAACCGCTTCGTGCATTGAATCCTCGCATATTGTAAAGTGGATGTGAGACTTCATCCCAGTTCCCCAATCCCGTTCAAATAAATGCGGCTATTCAAATCCCCTCCAGCCTCCCTACTACTTCTCCTTCTCTGTCCCTACACAGTGTTGCATGGGCGCAACTTTTGTGTTTGTGTCCGTGTTTCGGTCAAGCATTGAAAGCGTTCACCATTTCTGGCTTTTAGGTGGTGCCACGCAAGCACCCGCATTTTGAATAGAAAAGAAGGCAATTAATTGCCCCACTATTGAGAGGCAATTAGGAATGTTAGGACATACTTTTGAGTGGAAATAGGATCAAGTGTTTCAACTGCACACATCTTGGTTTTCACCTAGGCTTTACCTCTCACCGTCTTACAGCCATCCCTGTCTTCTCTGGATCGTTAAGTTTTTAAAATACCGCCCAAAAGTCACTTTCCCTTCTTCAAAATTTGTAACCGGGCTTTGCCAGTGGCGTTGCAAGCGAGCTCAAACGCCAGAAAATGTTGTATTCAAGCAGTATTTACTTATGACAAGACGTGTTCTCATCTTTTACTTACTTTGCATGCGCTAATTTCCCCACAGTTGGTTGAATCGTCCTGATCTTGCTGTTTTTAATGCCATGGTTATCTCCCCACTCACCAACCTACGTGTTGGCTGAAATAAGATTCTCATCAAGCACAAACAATGCTTTGACGTGTTTTTTTTTAGGTTTTCACATAGCTAATGTCTCCACAATAGGATTTCGTTAGATTGTTCCATTTCTCCGACGGGCAAACTCATTTCGCCTTTACCGGATGGACTTCAGCTATTGCTTTGACATGCCTTTTTTCCCTCTCACGAATCCAATTATTTGCAGTCAATGTATTTGGATGTCTTTCAAGAACAGAATAGATCAGACAGGAAATAGTTAGAGCATGTTGAAGGCAAGTATAGCTTTCCAGGTTCAGGCTCTCCTGTGCACAAACACAAGTTCACCACTCCTGTTTCGGGACTGTCCCTTAGCCAAATCCCTGTTCCCCTCAGTCGTCGTTTACCACCAAAGGGATCGTGTCGTGCATATCTTAGTCACTTGATCACATATTCGTTGTGAGGCTCCAGAAACTTCTACCTAGACATTTCAAATGCCTGATTTGTGCCTTGTTACTGAGTAGTCTTAAAACGCTCATATTTCACACCCTCCATAGCTTATCTACACGCCATTAGAGACGACACATAAACGCAAGAGCTGGAGCCCTCCATGCGCAGCTTAAGGACGTCATTGGCTCCGGGGCTTCAGGGGCACTTGGACACTCGCCAAGGCTGTCTCTTCTAAGTGAACATTTAAATACGCAGACTCCGCAGGCTCCATCTTGACGAGATTGTCCTCCAGCTCTACCCAATGGCAGACTCACAGTGCTTCTGTCAGTACATTTGTTTTTCCCTCAGAAAAGACTAGGTCACAAAAGGGAAGGTTAAGCCTTTTTAGTCGCAAATTTAACTCTTCATAATTGTGTTTTTCTGTGCGCAAACAAGAACTTGCCACGCACACCTCGAGCAATTCTGATGCGGTCCACCTGACTGTGTCAGAATGAACTCTTGACGCTTCGTAAGGATGGTCTTCCTTACAGCAGCATACTTGAGGTCAGGGAGGAGGGTTGCTCAGGCAGAATCATTCCGCCACCTCCTACTAGTCCGGCTTTGAAGTATTTGACTCTATTTTCCAAGTCAAAGTTGAGGAAATTTGTTTTCCAAGTAGGGTGTTGTGAAAGATCTCCATCCAGTGCAAGTAAATTTGCACAACTGGGAATGGAAAGAGCTTTTGAGCAAACAAACCACGTCTGGTCAATTGCTTCTCTTCGAACAAAGCATGAAACACTCACTAAAGTGAGCAAAATCTTCCACTTGTGAAAATTTTCGTGTCAACAAAATGGATGTTTACCTTCGGAACCAGGATTTGTACAATGCCGCTTCAGCATTTGTGCAAATACATAAAAATCCTTCGAAAAGTGCCAGAAGCTTGTGCCACCTATTTAACTCTTCACGCATCTCGGCTCACTCATTTAGCATTGGCTTCAGATTCACCTTAGCCATGAGGGTGAGGGATGGAGGGAGGGAGGCAGGAGGGAAGGAGGGACCATATTGCTGGTATTGCCAACGATTTGAAGAAAAAATATTTAACCGTGCAAGTCCAAGGTGCAAGCATACTACAAATATCTTGACTGCATGGGAAATTAGCAATGCATGTCATCAATTTCTACCCTGCATGTTCATAGCAGGTTTGAGCCTTGCTAAATCGTGGTCAGTCGTGGAGCCACGCTTTCACCACAGTTTAGAAATGCTGTTCCCATGGTCTTCAACTAATTCTACTTGAAATACCAACCGAAGTGTCACCTCACGCATACTTATGTTTATGATGCTACGAATGGGTGGGAGTCTCGATATTTAACTTATGGTGCACACCTCAACCACGTCGGCTGACCGCACCCGGTTCGAACCCACATTTCATAGAATGCACATCTCAAGGCTGCAAGAAGCGGATAGCACATAGTTTCGTCAAAGTAGAAACATGCAATTGTTACCTGTTGAAACGGGAGCTGGCAGATCCCGTTCTGTGTCATTTGCTGCCTGATCTGTGGAATGTGTCACGATCACGCATAGTCTATCAACATACGGACAACTGGTTTTGTGAAACTCTGTTTGTGATGCCAACTTCGAAGGTCGTCATCCTTGGCGACATTTCGAATGTTTAAATCGAGGAATCTAAGACATGCTTCAAAACGTTATAGCCTGTCCTTTATTGCTACCCAGTTGACTATTCGGAGCTCGGTTCTGTATCATTCCTGCTTCTCGTGGCATTTCCAGGCACATTTCTATAACCTGACTTCATGCCCACTTGGCACAACTCAGCATTCGAACGTAATTAAGTCATGTCTTTAGGATACAGTTGTCCTCAGTAACTTCGTTTTCTAAACGACCTCATGATGGGCTGGACGCGACTCTATCACTTGATCTGCTCGTGTCGGCGTCGTTAAGTCTTGCAAAATACAATACGCAAGTACTGAAGATTCCAACCTTGCAATTAATCCAATTTTTTAATTGGAAATTTGTAATTAAGCTGCTGCTTCTAATCTAGTTTGATAAATTCTCAGTTCGTTAGGAAAGCGTCAACCCAAATTCCCTTGAAACAAACAAAAAACAATCCAACAGACCGATAATCAACCACCTTCTACTGTTAACGCTAGGGAATCTGCACCTATTTACTCTTTTCCACATCCAAGCCCTTTTGTTGATTGATGGTTTAAGCCTGTCAGCACCACCTTCACATGCAAGGCACACCACAGTTTTCTTGCTTAAGCTGGGCCTTCACAAATGAGTGACGTTTTATTCGTCAACGGATGATAAGTAGTTGCACCGCATCGTGTCACAGACAGCGTGATTGGGTGTTAAACAACGAGATGGATGTAGGAGCCTTTTGTTTCTAGGGTGCCTACACCCATGCTGCCTTAGAACAAACAGTTGACTTGGTAAGTTTAATTGTGCAAGCTTTGATGTCATGCCCTAGAACAGGAAAACATTTTAGTTGTGGTGGTTGACTCTTCCGAGATCCTGACTGCCAACATGTCGAAATGTCAGATACGGTTGGACACACCTTAAGTTTATGCAAGGGACCCGTAAACAGGCACTGGGTGGACGATTCAACGGCGGTTGTGAGTGCTAAACTTGTTGCTCTTCCCAATCACTGGATGGCTGTCAATAAGTTTGCGCTGTTCCAACACTGCTGCTTTGCAGTACTGACCGTAGGGAGCGGCATGAAGATTCATTTACCTTCCACTAGTCAGCTTTGTCTGCAGTAAAAACGAACCTGTGCGTAAAGCCCACCGTCAGTGGATCAGTAAATCTTCCAAGTGCTGTGGTAGCAGAGTGTGCAGCTGCTGCCACCCGAAATGGATTTAGCAGTAAATTCAAGTAACCCATCGTTTTCTACTTTCTAACCCAAAAACTGATTTCCACAGAAATTTTGATGCACTTATTGCAAAATTATTCATGATGCCTTTGCAGCCTCGATTGGTGATGGTCGCCTTAACCAGGTTCCAGAGATGTGATGTTCGCAGTTTATTAGAATTCGGGGCGATTGGACGTAGGCGGTTGACCGTGTTTTATTCATAATAGTAATGGATCAGATCACTTCTAGAGACGTCCAACGTGGGTCTGATGATGGACACAGCTAAATGACTTTGTATTATACATTTGAAATTTGTCGCATGATTCTTGTCCAGTAACAATTACCACTCTCGTGGCTCAATCGAAACACTTCCATCCTGGTTCTTGCCTCCACCTCTTCAATAGGGCAGGAGCTAGCTTGATAGAAATGGTTCATGTCACAGCTAAAGGGGTTTTCGGTCCTTAATGTAATCAGTTTATCTCACAGCTTAGAGTATCATGCTGTTTGTTAGGCTCGTAGACATTCATTCGGCTCTTTTGCTCATAGTTTAGAAGGTGTGAGCTCCCCAAGTTGGTTGCCTTCGGTTTTTTTAGCTGCCTTCTGGTAACAGCGAAGTGACACATGAGCAGCGAGACTGAAATTGGTTAACCCCATCGAATTTTTCGTAAGGGTAATGAGGGATCTCCAACTCCTAGGGTGGAGAGAGTGTCCAGAAAGTAACGCATCCGGTAATGCATTAATTCTAACAGCATATACGGTGACCTTCCAAAACCATCCCTTACCCAAGCAACGGTTAACAATAAGCTAAAAATTACTTTTAGAGGCAAGGACCTTGCCAATGGATCTTGATTTAATATATATTCACCAAGAAAAATTAGATCACGATCAGACAAGAGGCAGTGAATGTTGGGGAATCTGAGTACGGTTTTACGCTTGCGGTCCTTCATGGGTATTCTTTTAACCAAACTACTGTAAATTAGTAGTACAAGTAATACCTCCATTAATATTAATATACGACCATTTCTAGTGCGCCTGTTTTTAATTTTACCTCAAATTTAAGCCATCGCGGGAGTCAGTTACCAAAGTAGATCCTTTTGTAGTGAAAATATGTGTCCTACTCATTCACGATGACTGCGATTTCTCAACCTTTTAATGGATCAATGCCGATTCATGCGAGGCGTACGTTGTCGCCTTCGTGCCGGATTTTGAAATGCTGACTATGCCATGGTAGAGCTCCGGGCACATCCACTTTGCGAGCGTTCACCTTTCGGTCAGGTTCACATTGATGGGAATCACTTGACACATATACAAACCCGCATGCTTCAACGACATTGAGGGTTTTTTTACGAAAAAATACACTCTTTACACCCCTCATCAATGGTGTATAAATTGTTTTGCCAAAATAAATATAGTTGTAAGTGGTTTAAGCAGTCAATTGGAAATATCTCTGGACATCGAACCCAGGTGCTTAGGGGAATTGTTGCTTATTTTCCTTGTTAATAGGCATAACCGCCATTATAAAGGGGCCACAACCTTCGTGTGTTGGCATACTCCAAAATTTCTCATTCAAGAGGAGGTCTGGTGCGTGACGATGCTGGAAACTGCTAGTGCTGTAAGAATACAGTGTTAACAGGGAGCCTAATTTTTCCGGTTTGTAATAAAACATCTCTGCATTCATAATCGTATCTAGTTCAGGCTTTTGGTAGATTTTAAAAAGTGGGGGTTGGTGATGGGTCCACAGAACAGTAGCGAAGCTCACAATCATCACTTTACCAGACTTCTTGTGAGCCTCCAGTAGACTGTCAGGGAATCGAAATTGAGTAAATG